TTTAAAAGGCTGTGGTTCAAAAGCTTTTAGGTTCTTTCCCTGAAAACAAGAGAACTTTGGTTAAAGCCAATTCTTAAGAATCATTACTTCTATTCTTTGAACAGGCAAAATAATGAACTACAAATACAGACACAATTTTCTTATGATGGAAAAATAAACCTATTTCTTATAAACATCTAGATAAACAAAAAAAGTATTGAAGAAAATAATAGAAGTGGCAACCTTTTGGGGCACTGTTGATATTCCTAAGATTAGGCTTTAAGGTTTAACAGGAAGCTTGGGAATTTCCTTAAAAACAAGTTTTCTCCACTGAGTACTCCTAGCTACTATGACTGACATCTGGATTCTTGAATCTATTCTTTTCACTCAGCCTCATTTTGTTAGGGACATCTTCTGGATTATCTGAACCTACAAACCAACTCCAGAACACAGACCACCACCATGCCTTCTAGCCACACCCAAGCACAGCGCATGCTGCATCACCACGCCTCATCATAACCCAGCTCTTGGGGCCTTGCATAGTGGCAGTGACCAGGAAAGTTGTTAAAACCGTGCCCATTCTTCTACATCTTGACCTCAGACTATAGTTAGTAGGTTTTTAAAAACGAAATTGAAAAGTATTTAACAAAGGGAAATAAGGTAATTAATTTTTCAAACTGCAGTTTCAACTAATTATGCTTATAGATGTAGGGACTAATTGCTAACCCAGTAATTCCCACAAATTTGTAATATTGGATATGGTTTCCACAGTATGCATTCATTCATAGTAAAGTACAAAGAGTTGAGTTTACCCATATAATTGCTTTCCAAATCAACAACACGAAGTATAAACTTTACAAAGATGACCTAACCGATTATCATATAACCCCACTAACTACCAAGGAGACTGTTGGGAGGAATCTTCCTTTAATCAGCGACTCATCTTACCAAGTGATCTGTTAAGTGCCTGTGAAATATAATGAACTTTCAGCAGAAAATGCAGTACATGCTTTTCTACTTCAACTACACCAAGTTTCTCAAAGAAAGGCTACTTTCCTTTTTATGTGACAAACATTAAAGACCAATGAACCATACTCCAACAACATTAATTACACTGACTACTTCCAGAAAGTGGGATTGTTAGTTGAGTAAGACCCAAAGGATTAGGAGCTATTTCTTGAGGCATTCAATCAAATTTAAGTTTGGAAAAAGTCTCATTATTTAAAACCCATTAATTTAGACAAAATTGTGTGTAACAGACCGACTACCAACTACTACTTATTTTCACCCTTCTTGTTAAAGGGGGCAGATGAAAACTTTGGCAAATTTGATTAACAGCACAAAATAGTGTTATTCAAACTGAATAATTTATTGCTGGTCTGAGGCTTGCCTTGTTTTACACTTCCGCAAAATTTACATTTTTTCCACGAATAGCAGATAAACATTGAAAGAATTTAATAGTGACCTATTCAATAAGGCAATCATCTTGGTAGCAAACTTTTATTTAAATCTTACATAACTCAAGCTTTATAAAAAGCCAACATAATTGAAAATTGGGTTCTCCCTCTAAAGCCTTAAGTATCCAAAGCTTGAAACTGTTAATTTAAAAATAAGCAACAAATAAAACAACAAAAACCCCTGCAGCAGATCCTGCTGAAATACTTAAAAAAAATCTAATTGAGCTTAATCTTTACAAAAGTTATTTTAGCTCAAAAGCTATAAAATCAAAGTTATCTTAATTCTACAAAGAAGGGAGAGGGTCTTTCATGCCACCATTTTAGAACCTCATCTTTTTCATCAAATTTGGCCACAAATCAAATTTCTGTGTGCCCCTGTTTTCAGGAGATTCCTCTTGTTGCAGAGGACAAGTACAAACATGGAAGAGTAACTGCCTAAGCAAGTAGGAAAGAGTTCTGTACTAGTGTGCAAAGAATGGAGAGTTCTGAGTTAATCTCTGGAACTCGACCTGGACCTTGACCTCGAACGAGATCTAGAACGGGACCTTGAAGTTGCTCTTTTTGGTGGAGGGGACACAGAACGAGCCTTTGAGGGCGGAACAGGTAGGGGTGAATTGGAACGAGATTGGCTCCTTGATCTGGATTTTGACTTTATGTCACCTTTTCCATTTTCTTTGGGGGACCGAGAGCGAGACCGAGACCTGCTTCGGGATTTCTCATACTCATCCTTAGATCTGCTTCGAGAACGTGACCGAGAGCCCCGATCAGACTTGGGTTTGGATTTGCTCTTCGATCTAGATTTCCTGCCTTTTGATCGAGAACGCGATCGACCTTTGCTCCGCGACCTGGATCTGGACACAGAAAAGCCCAATTTCTTTTAATGCCTTGCAGCACACACACGCACCCCACGAACAAGCACAGCAGCAGCCAGAAAAAAAGGACAACACAATATTTACCGGGAGCGACTTTTAGAAATACTTCGAGATCTACTGCGGCTGCTCCTGCGACTCCTACTTCGTGACCTTCTTCTAGAACGTGACCTGTAACAGAACCCACAAGGAGCCCTTAACCTCAACAATGTTTGTGCCTTATCAACAGATCAGCCACACACACACACAGAACGCATTTGCTTACCACAAAATTAAATGCACTAACAAAGCATATGGCAAAGAACCCAAGATGCATAACCAGAAGTACCAGTTACTGCTCTCCATGTTCTTCAAACAAGTTACCTAGATCTGCTTCCAGAGTAAGATCGCCTATGGCTTGTTCGTGGCTTATCTTCAATAAGCCTAATATTTCTGCCATTTATTTCTGTACCATCCAGTTTATCCAAAGCACGCTTCATGTCCGAGTAGGAGCGAAATTCAATTACACCTTCATTTGTGCGTTCTTTGTGAGCATCCGCATAGGTTACTTCACCTGCTTGGCGCATGAAATCCTAAAACAGCAACAAGACTGCTCAGGTGCAGAAATCTGAGGGAAAGTATCTATACCATACTGAGTTCTTAAAAAAATAAAGATTGCAAAAGAGTTTACTTTCAGCATGAATCTTAACCCCTTTCATTGTAGCACTTACCTTTAAATCTTGCCAACTGCACCGACTAGAAAGATTTTCTACAATTAGCCTGTACTCTGTACGAACAGGTGGTCCATATTTGTCTCTGCCAGAGGTTCTCCGACTGCTGTATCCACCACCACCACCTTTATCACACGAAGGGAACAATCAGGTGCTTGCAATGGTAAGGATGGATAACGTTTTTGAAAGTTAGTACAAACATATCAACTTTCATATACTGGAGTAGGACTTTGCTATTACACTGCTAAACCTTTGATACATTTGTGATTTGCCATAAATTAAATTAAGGGCAAGTCAAATAGACTAAATCCGACTAAACCTCTCCTACAATCTGTTAGAGAGTGACTGCTCCTTTATTCAATTTACCTCGCTAAGTTTTATTTTACAGAACATTGTAAAATATAAAACTTAACTGATTACATGCATTTCTACATTTTACAAAAATGTTTACTAGTTACACTAAGTACTTACATCACAGTGTGAGGTTTTTGGTGGTGGTTTGGCCACAAAACACGCAAGGTAACAGTCACCTAGTTCAGATTAACCAGTTTTGTCTAACCCTTGGAATCCTCACCATCACCCTGCGTCTAATGGCAAAAGGCTGCTGTCGTCATGGCTTCCGGTAAGGTCAGCCAAAGGGTCATAGGGCAAGGGTCACACAATGTATGGAAAAGCCAAGGCCAATCAGGAAAGGCAGTCATCTTAGCCTCAGTGGACACAGCCTCAGCCCCATTGGTCACTTTCAAATTGAAACATCAAGGACTTGTTAAAAAGTTTGAATTCAACATGCAACAATTTCAACATCAAACATTTAAAATAACCACCCCCACCCGTCCTCCCAATAACATGCCCCGGCAGTTCAAATGCAGCATAAAGCTTCTTTAGATTTAGTTTGTGGTAAAGTACCACGTTAGAATCGCATTTTCTTTGCCCCCACCAATTTTCCTAACTCCTAACTACAGGCTCCGCCCCTTTCCCCGCCCCCGCCCCCACCAACTCCCCCACTTCTAGCTAAGGCACTGACAGGTGAGCCGGGGGATTCGGTCAGTACGGCCGCCCCTCGCTCCCTCCGTGGGCAGCACCCACGTCAGTGCCAACGGGGCTCCGCACACGCCACCCCCTCCCACCGCGGCCCGCACCAAGCCCCAAGGCAAACACCCGGACCCAATCCCCGCGCTCCGGTGTCCCCCGGCTTCCCCGGGCAGGCGGGGCAGCGGCGGGGCCCGGGCGCGCCGGGACCAAACGACCCCCGGCCCCCGCGCCTGCCCGGGCTGGGAAGCCCCGCCCTCCACCCCGGTGCCCGCGTCCGCCCCCGGGGTCCCAAGGACGCGGAGCGCGCGGGGATGCGACTCACTGCGGCTTCCGTAGCTGTAGCCGTCGCGATCGCGGCGCGGGCCCCGGGCGTGCTCCACGATCACGCGCTCGCCGCAGAGCTCCTTGCCGTTCAGCTCGTAAACGGCGTCGTCGGCGTCGCGGGAGTCCTCGAACTCCACGAAGCCGTACCTGGGGGCGGCCGAGGGCCGGGCCGGCGGGGGCGTCGTTAGCCGGGGGCGCGCACGTACGCGCCCCCGCGGCCGCCCGCGCGCGCCCGCGGCGCCGCGCCGCCGCCATCTTGGGAGGCCCTGCCACGCGGCGCCGCGGCCTCAGCGGCCTGCGTTGCCGGACGGCCCCCGCCGCCGCCGCCAGGCCCGGGGCGCTGGGCGCGGACGCGGGCGCCCAGACCCGACTCACCCGTTTTTTAGGTCTACTTCGAGGAGTCGGCCATAGCCACTGAAAAAGCGCTGTATGTCCTTCTCCCGGACGTTGTAGCTCAGGCGTCCTATGTAGACGCGCGGCATGTCCGTGGCGGGCGTGGTCCCGGAGGCTGGCTGTCGAACGGCTGGCCGCAAGGCGGTAGCCGCGGTGCGGGTGCGGGGACGGCGAAAGCCCGAACACGCGCCTCACACCGCAGCGGCGGCCGAGTCCAGCCACACAATGGTGCGCGCGCGCGCCAGGGCTACGCTATATGGGCGGCCGGAGGGGGCGTGGCCCGGCGCGTGACGTCAGCGCGCAACACGCTGCCTTCCCGCTGCGAGCGCGGGGCTGGAGGGTGCCGGTGGACTCCGCAGCCCGTGAGATTGCGGTAAAAAGTGTTAGCTTGTTCGCGACCTTGATTTTCTCAAGTCTCCCTACAAAGTTTTGTGAATACAGTGTCCCGTGGTTCAGCCGCGGACTTGTCTTCGGACTTACACCTTTAAAAAACTTCCATAGGGCGATCGCCTGGGGGCTGGTGCTTGGGCGGGACGCTAAAAAAAAATTCCCCGGTTTTCATTGGTTCTCAAGGTTGTCATAATAAGACCCTTGGTTTTTGATTGGGTCCTCCAAACGAGGCTGCGGGTTCCCGCCGCCTATTGGTTCGCGCTCACTTTGGTGGGGAACGCGGTTGAGCAGCCTGTGTAGCAGAACCCGCGGGGCGCGCGAGGGGGTCGCGGTGACTCTGCCAAGGTCGCGCTGTGGGCGCCCAGCCGTGGGGGCCGCTGCCCCTCGGGGGCTCCTCCGCCCCCTTCAGCCGTTCCCCTCCCCCTCATGAAGCGCCGGCCTCTTGAGTCGCCCGAAGGTTGGGCTGTGCGTGGGAATCCCACGCTCGCTGCGGGTGCCCGAGAAGGCTGAGCAAGCCCTCCCACGGCGGAGAGCGTGTCCTAAATGCTAGTCTCTACTCCCAGGGTTGGAAAGCGCGGGAATATGCATTTGTGAGTTTATCAATAGAGATGGCATTTAGTGCTGGAGAACGAGGCGAGAACTGAAATGACATTTTTTAAAGTACTTTTTTTTTAAAAAAATATTTTATTTATTTATTTGAAAGTCAGAGTTACACAGAGAGAAGAGGTAGAGACAGAGAGAGAGGTCTTCCATCCGCTGGTTCACTCCCCAATTGGCCACAACGGACCGAACTGCGCCGATCCGAAGCCAGAAGCCGGGAGCTTCTTCCCAGTCTTCCACATGTGGCTTGGTCTCCCTTGTCGATGCAGGGGCCCAAGGACTTTCGCTGCTTTTCCAGGCACATTAGCAGGAAGCTGGATCAGATGTGGAGCAATTGGGACTGGAACCGGTGCCTGTACTGATGCGGTGCTACAGGCAACAGCTTAACTGGCTAGGGCATAGTTGTGGCCCCGACGTTTATCTTTTTTTTTTTTTTTTTTTTTTAAAGATTTTATTTATTTGAGAGGTAGAGTTACAGACAGTGAGAGAGAGAGAGAGACAGAGAGAAAGGTCTTTCTTCTGCTGGTTCACGCCCCAGATGGCCCCAGTGGCTGGAGCTGTGCCAATCCGAAGCTAGGAGCCAGGTGCTTCTTCCCAGTCTCCCACATGGGTGCAGGGGCCCAAGGACTTGGACCATCTTCCTTTGCTTTCCCAGGCCATAGCAGAGGCTGGATCAGAAGAGGGGCAGCCGGGACTCGAACCAGTACCCGTATGGGATGCTGGTGCTGCAGGTGGAGGATTAACCTACGGCGCCACGGCGCTGGCCCCCTGACATTTATCTTTAAAACTTATTTTTTATTGATTTGCATCTACTCGTTCACTGCCTAGATGCCTGCGATTGCCAGGGCCAGGAGTCAGGAACTCCAACCAGGTCTTCCTGCATCGGGGCAGGACCTGAGTTAGTTAAGGTCACCACCGCCTGTCTCCCACGTTCTGCAGCAGCAGGAAGCTGCAGTCGGGAATTGGGAGCCAGATCCAGGCACAAAGGAATAGGCTTAAACGGAAAGCAGAAGCCCCAGCACCAAGCCCTGGGGTACCAGTGACTCGGAAGGTAGTGAGAGGAGCAGGTTCCTAAGAGGGTAAAGGTTATCATTGAGAATACCTGTTCTTGGTCTTTGTTTTTTATTTTTTTTTTAAGATTTATTTTATTTATTTGAAAGGCAGAGTTATGGGGCCAGGGCCTGCAGTAGGGGAGAATCTCCCCAAATGCTTGCAATGGCCGGGGCTCTGTAAGGCCAAAGCCAGGAGCCAGGAGCTTCTTCCGGGTCTCCGATGTGGGTGCAGGGGCCCAAGGACTTGAGCCATCTTCTGCTGGTTTCACAGACGTTAGCAGGGAGCTGGATGGGAAGTGGAGTAGCCAGGAATTGAATGGGCTCCCATATAGGATGCTGGCATTGCAGGTGGCGGCTTTACCTGCTACTCTACAATGCCAGCTCTAAGAACACCTGCTCTTTAGATGTTTCTGTATTCCTGCTTTTTTTTTTTTTTTTAAGTTTTATTTAATTATTTGAAAGGCAGGGTTACATAGAGGGAGAGAGAAAGATCTTTGCTGGTTCACTCCCCAAATGGCTGCAACAGCCAGGGCTGGGCCAGGCCATAGCCAGGAGCCTGGAACACCATCCAGGACTCCCATGTGGATGGCAGGGGCCCAAGTACTTGGGCCATTCTCAGCTACCTTCTCAGGTGCATTAGCAGGGAGCTGGGTTGGAAGTGGAGCAGCCCTTAAATGGGATGTGGGGATTGTAGGCAGAGGCTTAACTCCCTGTGCCAAAATGCCCCCCCCCCCTTGAGTGGGACAACTTCAGTATCCTTTGGCTTCTGGTTGAAATGGGGGCAGTTTTGCCCCACAGGAGACATTTGGAAGAGTGGAGATGCCGGTTGACTTGACTGGGGAAGAGATACATTAATATTGGCATTTAGTGGGTAGAAGTCACACTTAAAGTTAGGTTAAAAATATAGATAGTGGGCCGGCGCCGTGGCTTAATAGACTAATCCTCCGCCTAGCGGCGCCGGCACACCGGGTTCTAGTCCCAGTCGGGGCGCCGGATTCTGTCCCGGTTGCCCCTCTTCCAGGCCAGCTCTCTGCTGTGGCCCGGGAGTGCAGTGGAGGATGGCCCAAGTGCTTGGGCCCTGCACCCCATGGGAGACCAGGGGAAGCACCTGGCTCCTGCCATCGGATCAGCGCGGTGCGCCGGCCACAGTGCGCCAGCCGTGGCAGCCATTGGAGGGTGAACCAACGGCAAAAAGGAAGACTTTTTTTTCTGTCTCTCTCTCTCACTATCCACTCTGCCTGTCAAAAAAAAAAAAATATATATATATATAGATAGATAGATAGATAGTGGTTAAGCCACCCACTAAAGATGCCTGCGTCTCCCACCGAAGCACCTGTACACTCAGCTCTGCCTCCTGATTCCAGCCTGCTGCTCACGCAGACTGCGGTGAGCAGCAGGGGGAAGGCTCAAGTCATTGGTCCCTTCCACCAGTGGGCAGTGTGGATTGACTTTCCAGCCTCTGGCTCTTGCAGGCATTTGGAGGATGGGCCAGTAGCTGACAGCTCTCTCTCTCTTTCTGCCTCTCAAATAAGTAATTGAAAACTATAGGTAGACATAAAATTTTTAAAAATTTGTGAGCTGTAGTTAGGGAAATGAGAATTCAATAGCATGATAACATTTTCTATTCATCAAATTGTCAGTATTTCAAATCTGTTAAAATAATTGCTTGAGTCAGTTCCCTTAAGAAATCCTGTCTCACTTCTCTCCATGTGTTATGTATTTATCAGACCATACCCTGGGGTTCTGTATTCCTGAAATAAGTCCAAAGATTGCTATAACAAATCACTACCATTTTAGTGACTTTTTTTTTAAAAAACGATTTGTTTATTTATTTGAAAGGCAGTTACAGATAGAGGTAGAGATCGGCAGAGAGAACAATCTTTTTTTAAAAGATTTTATTTATTTATTTTTTTGACAGGCAGAGTGGACAGTGAGAGAGAGAGAGAGAGAGAGAGAAAGGTCTTCCTTTTTCCATTGGTTCACCCCCCAATGGCTGCTGCGGCCAGTGCCCTGCGACCAGCGCAACGCGCTGATCCGAAGCCAGGAGCCAGGTGCTTCTTCTGGTCTCCAAGGCAGGTGCAGGGCCCAAGGACATGGGCCATCCTCCACTGCACTCCCGGGCCATAGCAGAGAGCTGGACTGGAAGAGGAGCAACTGGGACAGAATCCGGTGCCCCGACCGGGACAAGAACCTGGGGTGCTGGCGCTGCAGGTGGAGGATTAGCTTGTTGAGCCACGGCACTGGCCAAGATTTTATTTGAGAGGTGGAGTTACAGACAGTGAGGGGGAGAGACAGAGAGAAAAAGTCTTCCTTCCATTGGTTTACTCCCCAAATGGCTGCAACAGCCAGAGCTGCGCCTATCTGAAGCCAGGAGCCAGGTGCCAGGTGCTTCCTCCTGGTCTCCCATGTGTATGCAGGGCCCAAGCACTTGGGCCATCTTAAACTGCTTTCCCAGGCCACAGCAGAGAGCTGGATTGGAAGAGGAGCAGCCGGGACTAGAACTGGTGCCTCTGCTGCAGGCGGAGGATTAACCTATTGCACCATGGTGCCAGCCCCTGAGAGAACAACCTTCCATCTACTGGTTCACTGCCCAAATGGCTGCAACAGCTAGGACTGGGCCAAAACCAGGAGCTTCCTCTAGGTCTGCCACGTGGGTGCAGGGGCCCCAGATACATGGGCCATCGTCCACTGCTTTCTCAGGCGCATTGGCAAGGAGCTGGATTGGAAGTGGAGCAGCTGGGACATAAACCGGCACCCGTGCGGGATGCTAGCTTTGCTGGCGGGAGCTCAATCCGCTACGTCCCAGTGCCAGCCCCAGTGTAGTAACTTAACGGGACACACATTGACTCTCCTGCGGCTCTGGAGGTCACATGACTGCAGTGGTTCGCTGGGCTCCGGTGGAGGTGGCAGCGGGGCTGCCTTGCTCTGAAAGCTCTCGGGGACGATTCCTTCTGTCGGTGTTTCCCAGCTTCTAACTTTCCCAGTTCTGACTTCATTCTCTGGCGTGTGGGCCCTTTCTGTGTCTTCAAAGCCATTCGCTCTGGTCCAGACCTTTCCATGCCCACTCTGCCGCTGAGCGCTGCTCCCCACATCCCATCTTCTCTGGTTGTCCTGCTTCCCTGCCGGGAGGGCCCTGGTGATTGCACTGGGACAGCCCCAGCAACCCAGGATTGGCCTCCCTTGTCACACCTGCCAAGTCTCGTTGCTGTGTAAGGCAGCGTCTTCCTAGGTTGTAGGGGTTAGGGCATGGGCATCTTCAGGGGGGCTGTTATTCTGCCTCCTACAAGGACCGCAGGGAAGGTGACTGGGAAGGAGCGCCTGATGAGGTGGG